CCCCGTATAGTCCATATATGCCCTCCCCCCTCCCCCCCGGGGTCAGATATAACAGCAACCGATCACAAACCACAGGAGACCCATAATAAGCGAAAGTTTAGTAATCGAAGTAATCATTCAATCAGGCTCCAAAATCCGGGTTCCCTGTGGACGAGATGAATGTGAAAAAGCTGCTGACGCCGAAGCTGACTGTGTTTCCATCAATTATTGTGTATAATTGTCCAATCCTTTCAGGTGGKATCATAATGATGGTGATTGAGGAATCTCTTATCAACGAGAAGCACGGATACAAAGAAAAGATCGATGAGRTAGCTGCAAGCAAGAAGTGGGAACACCTGAGGACTCACCACATGGAATATTGCCTTGTTCCAGGGACAGACATCTTGGAAAAGGGCTATCTCTTTACCTACAAGGTCTTAGCAAATGAATAACTGTCAGCTAAGCCTATCCCATTCTGACAGTGCTATGAWAAGTCCTGGGCAAGTGATCTTGCCAAAAGGCGTAGTATTTTTGGTTAAGAATTGATTATACTTGATTTAATACTTGATAAAGACCTTTTTTACTGATAAATAAAGAAATAGCCTTCCTAAGAACAYGTACTTGGTCATTAGTTCGTAAGTGTCCTTGTCATCGTCCGATAATAACTGAACCTCAGGGACTTTTGCTTGCTTAAACTCTATTGATTATTTTTTGGCCGTTCTCGGTTCACTAGTTATCAATTTTTACTACTRTAATTGTATTAATTTTCCAAGACAGTTCTCTATTGATTTATATCGTTAGTCAAAAGGAAATGCCTAGCATGGGACCTAGAGTCCCGTTCGCACTTTCCGCTTTGGGTAACATGTTGGTTCTGTAATTTTCTGACAATTGTAAGTTATCGTAAAAAATCTTATTGAAGACGAGGACTAACGCRAGCGAAAAATTTCTCTGCCAAACTGGAGTACCTCTGTAGTAGCCTGACTGAAGTGATGGAAACTTTATGACGCTCAATTCAACTTCTCGAAGACAAAAAAAAATTTACATTTTATAACTAGTTATGAACTTCTTACATTTGAAAAATTGTACAAAAGAAGACAGCTCTGAAAACAAGCCTCTTTGCCTGCAAAATGCATATATCTACCTCCATTTTCTGTTTTTCTTTTGTATTTTTCCCATTTTCAAGTTATTTTTTCTGGTTTGTTCGAATTTCAAAGCGCACGTGGCTAGCGCGTGGCCTGTCTATTTTTTTTTACGCAACCCTTTTCTTACGTCAACCAGCAAACAAAAGAATGACGTAATCAATCAGTCGAGGTAGTCACATCCAGACAGGACAAGATGGCAGCGTTTTATCGCTACTCGTGTTTATGGCACGGTTGCGGCAAACATTGTGGCTCTTTACTCGATTTGATAGACCACATTGAACTGGTGCACATCGAGAAAGACCAGAGAATACTGGAGAAGCAAGAATCGTCTCCGCCGGCTGCTTTACCACTGTCTTATATTAACTGTTTCTTTACCGAAGCAGCTCGCCGGGCCCAACAAAAAGAACAAGAACAACTTAATGACATTACTCCGCAAACAACTGAACATATCGTTAAAAAGAAAAGACCTACTMCTCCTAAAATGACTTTTAATCCTATTGGGAACACAGAACCGTTTGATATTGTGGATGACGATGGAAATATGAGTGATAAAAGCGATGAATCGTGGAGTTCTGACCAGAGTTTTCCAAGCGATTTTAAGCTAATATTGAACGCCGTTGCCTTGGACGATGGCGAAGGGAAAAGATATGTCTGCCCCGTCGCTGGCTGCGAAAAACGCTACAAAAATGTTAATGGCATAAAATACCACGCAAAATACGGACACAAGAAAGAAAATCGGGTTAAAAAAGCACATAAATGTCACTGTGGTAAGAGTTACAAAAGCCCAAGTGGACTGCGGAATCACATGCAAGCACAGCACCCTTCGATTAACTCATTGCCACACTAAATATTTAAAAGTATTTATTGAATTCATGAAGATCAGTCATGGTGGATGTCTGATATATATGTTACATGGATTTTTACCAGAGAAATTGAACCTTATTCGAGACGTATTAATTTAACCCTACAGAGCGTTGGTGTTTGTTCCTGTACCCCCYGATGAGCAGCGAAAGATGTTATTACGACTTGGAGATTTTATCTCAACTAAAAAAATCAAACATCTAGAATTTACGAGATTGAAGATTTACCTAGGATATATGCAACTCCGTTCGTATTCTGTTTGGAGGGATATATAGTTTGTCTGCGAAGGGTACTTGACAAATGTACCATAGAATTTGTTAATAATGAGACGCGTCACGGTGTGATATAGCTTGTCAAATATCTGTTTGAACCAAAAATCGATGATTTTAAAATTTGTTTTTAGTGTCAATTGAATTCGTATCTTGATGTGAAATCCTGTTGTATTTTCTTGTTCGTGACGTCRGTAAAATAAGCATTTTTTGATGTACACAAAAATTACTTGTTTGGTCTCATGGGATTGATCGATTACTTKGTGATTGAAATCCGTCGTCTGTTGTGTTTACTCAATCGATCGCTTTATGCAAATGCTGAGAGCTGTGTGACAGCTGAACTAATAATTTTCTGTTCACAGTCCATGAACTCTAGATCTTGATGATTAGCTAAAAGCTTTTATTTTTACAATTTTTTAACTTAGGTGCTTGAAGAGTGAAATTTGAAACATTTCAGATTTTTGATCAATCTGCTAAAACCCAGTACTTAATTTTAATTTGCTATGGCATGTTCAGGTTTACTGAAATGGTTGAATAGTTTGAAAACAGCCTTGACAGTCAGCTGCAATTTACYGATCTAGATATAATACTTGATATACCCCCTTTAGAATTTAGCTTAGGTCTGTGACTGTTTTACCTYAATGCAGTTCGCATTTACATGTGACAAATGCGAGATCAATGATCAGCAATTTCATTTTCTTCACTCATGCTTTTAAGCTCTTGATTGACAGTTAGCGAGATAAACACACTTTCTAATTAGCACCAAATATCACTAACTAATTAATACAAATAGAGTGCTCTTTACTATTGCTGAAAACCTTTGAATTCACTTGTTTGTATAGACAAGCTTATTGGTAATGAAGCAAAAGTGGTCTAGATGTTAATGGAAAGTGACTAAAACCTTTATTTATTATTCAGCTTTTGGCATAGATAAAATTCATGTAGTACTAGCTRATATTTACTGCAATAGTACGATGCCATGCTTTAAATTTTTCACTCAAACTCCAAGCTCTATGTGTTTGAGCCCAATGTCCTCCTTGTTGCATGTGATTGAGAACTGCATAAGATTAAGAATTGTGTATTTAAGAAAATATTTTTGTTTATTTCGCTTCATTCCATTTTTCTGATTTCTAACTAGTGCAATCTTTAAGCCTGATCAGTTGTTTGTGAATACCAAATTGTGCAGTGTAGAAAAGTGAGTTAATGTATATGACAAAATTCCTACAAGAGTTTTTRATTCTTAGATTTAAATTATATTGCAAGTTCATCTAAGTTATTATTTATATGAGAAATCAGATTATTACCTAGTTATAGTTAGTATTTTAACTGTACAGTACATGAGATTTATTAGCTATTATGGTCAAGGGACTTGTTGGGTGGAATGACATGGAATGCCACRGCATAACTGTAAATATATGAATGAATAAATAATTAGATAAAATAAGAAGGCTATTTTCATATTATACAAGAATTTACAAATGCTGTGCTGTGTGCAGTTAAAAAGCACATGAAAATTGGCAGAACACTCAAGAATTATTGAGGAGGCACCATTAAGGAGCTCTCCTATGGGTCATATTCTTCTCCTAATAACCCTCTTGTGTTCTGCCAATCCCCACACTGCTTTGTAGCTGGATGACAGCGTGCACACACATTTCCTATTTCTTCAATACAGGTTTTTATGATGGGCAAAAAAGTATTATACCTTTGACCCTTTGACATTTGTGACCTTACATATCGTGAGGATGTGGGTGAGACAGGTTAAGGACCATATTTTCTTGATTATTGGGGATGGGTGAGGGAGGTGAATAACAATTTGCAAAAAAGGAAGTTTTTTAACTTCCCTATTAACATAGCTGAAAATTTTTAGCCCAATAACCCAAATCTCCTGAATAACCTGCATCAGTTCCCTAATAGCAAAGCTGAAAATTTTCACAAATTGTTTATCCCAATAGAGGCTTTGCACCATCAGGTGATGGCAGCCATGACAGGAGGTACAACAATAGAGTCTTTGCACCATCATGTGATGGCAGCCATGACAGGAGGCACAACAATAGTCTTTTCAACATCATGTGATGGCAGCCATGACAGGAGGCACAACAATAGAGTCTTTGCACCATCAGGTGATGGCAGCCATGATGGGGGCAGGAATAATTGAATCTGGTCTAATCTGATTACCACTACATTCTATATTTACGACACAAAACACTCAACTCACATGTTGCTTTTTACGGAGGGAGGAAACCGGAGATCCCAGAGAAAACCCTCRTGGCAAGGGAGAGAACATTCAACAAACAAACTCAACTCCTGCATGATCCAGTCGGAGCCTGAGGGCTCGAACCCGGACCACAGTGGTAAGAGGCAAGCAGTAAACCACTAAAGGATTCAGTTTTCCAGAAGGAAAAGACTCTATTGTTATTAACCCTGTCATGGCTGCCATCAGGTGATGGTGCAAAGCCTCCCTGAATAACCTGCTTCAGTGTGATTGATGGTCCCCATCAAAGTGTCTATAGTCCCAATGGGCTTAAACCCAAAGGAAGAATTATCCTGACTGACTGCATGCAAAAGCCAGGGGTAAAKGTTTGATGCCATGCACACAAATAATGCAAATTAGGGTGTGGTCAAACCTTGTGCCTGACGACTCGTGTGGGGGAAGTGATTGAGGAATGGAGAGGGGGACTTTACCACTAAGGTATATTTCATTAGTTGAGTAACTTTACAGCGCAACACATAAATAACCACATTTAATATATTTGCATACTTCTATGCACAGGCTTTTGTATGTTGAACTCAAACACCCGGGGGGGTACTCCCCTATATTTGCTATACGGGTATGTGCTGCCCTATAGGGTGTGGTTTTTCGGCTTTTGGGTCTGGGGTAGGGTATCATTTTTTGACATTTTGTCTGGGATAGGGTATSATTTTAGTCTGGGATATGGTTAATGATTTGGTGGTTTTTGTCTGGCGAGTAGTCTACGCTTTCTGCCGACACAAAAACAATAAARATGTTAGTAAATATTGATTGCAATCGATYGTAAAACAATATTTTCCGTCTTTCAGTTTTAGTCTGGGATAGGGTGTACAATTCTTAGTTTTAGTCTGGGAAAGGGTATGTAAAATCAAAATTTTAAATCTGGGATAGGGTCAGGGTTTTGAGGTCCTGGCGGCACACCCCTACCCAAGTTGGGGTGGTAGTACCCCCCCCCCCCCCCCGGGCTCAAACATTTTAATGTGAAGCTGGCTGGTTTTGTCAAATAAGTTTACTAAGCTTACTAGCCTTAAATTATTCATGAATTTCTCAGTAGCCTCTGACTTTTTCATTTAGACTATGTATTTTCTCTTGTAATAATGCAATTTCTTTCAGACATTTTGATAATGCGAATGGTACAGGTAAAAAATTTGGTAAAAAGCCGTGTGAATAAATTCTTGTATTTATCCCTCCCCTCCCCTACATTATTTTACTCGTTACTTACTGGTCAGCGGAACTTCASTTCGACCTCTTCTCTCTCGACGCCATCTTTGTTGGTGAGTGTGAATGTYCTTCTTTCAATCCGGCTCAATCCTCCTTGAAAATAAATCGTCCATCCTCATAAATTCGACATTAAATACTCCAATGCTACGTCTTTCTTTCTGTTCAATTTTTTAATACTATGTTTTACTTTTGTGTCGAAAAACACCACTTTTTAATGGTAGTACTTTTAGCGTGAAATAGTTATTTTAAAGTTTTTAGTATAATGTCCCTGCTTWTCTTAAAAGTAGCCCGTGTCATGGAGATCAATGAATTTGGCAGTATTAACGGTCTGCAAGTCGTAGTCTCTTAATTTTTACTATATTAGACGATTTATTTGAATTTGGATTGTAATACTTTCATGTAGTCTGCCTGTATCGTGTAATCCTGTGTACAACAAATAACACAATGTGRAAAACTGTAGCCCCTCTAAATAATAATTTATGTTAGGATTACTGTACTTCTGCTTGAAATTGTTACAAAGAGTTAGGATTTGTTAAGATTATAAGTTATGCAAACTGTTAGAAATTATAAATCACTCATGTATAAATCATCATTAAAGTACTTGAAAAGCAACTGATGTTGCTCGATCATTTACACTTTGAATARATTATGCTGTATTTCATATATTTYCTTGAACATTAAGCCTCATAAATGTATGAAATACTTTAAAAACGCACTTGACAGATATATAARGACAAAATTTGTGGCCACCATGTTGGTTGTTGTCCAAAAGGACAGTCAATAACCTCAAGAATACAACCATTAYTAGATACAGATCTAAAGCTGAACTTCTTGATCTTCTAGGGTAACAATGGGCAAATTCATTAAGTCGGGCAAAGTCGTTCTTGTCCTTAATGGCCGCTATGCTGGCAAGAAGGCCTTGATCGTAAAGAACTATGATGAAGGAAGCACAGACAAGCAGTATGGACATGCCCTCGTTGCTGGTATCTCRCGATACCCCCTTAAAGTTACTAAAAGGATGGGCAAGAAAAGGTCTGCCAAGAGGTCCAAGATCAAGCCTTTTGTTAAGGTCATTAACTACAACCACCTTATGCCAACTAGGTAAGTAGTTAATAGTAAAATTATTTCAAGTAAGAAATATAATTCTATTTTTGAGGGTGTTGTAGCTATAAGGCCCTGGCTAAATGAGGAAACATGTTTACCATGCGCGTGTTTCCCAGTTTAGCCACATGCGAAACATTACTGCGTGCAACAAATTTTGCTTCCAAGACGCAAAAAATGTTTCCAAGATGCATGGAAACATTGTTTCCCGATGTTTTCTGACAGTTTTGCCACCTTAGGAAACATTTAGGGAAACATGTTTCTGGAAACATGCTTCCTTGTTTAGCCAGGGCCTAAGAGTTTCAACTTTTACCAGTAAAGTCTGGTGCTCAACCAAGTGAAATGAGTGGTGGWTATTGTGGCAGTTGTTATTGCACAAACATGAGAAATGCTCTGACCTTCTTTTGAGTTTTCAACATAGAACTTATCGCACAACCAAGTGTATTGCAGCCTTTTTTATTTTGAAATAAATAAATGGTCAACACTCAGTATGCATCTATTAAGTTATGGATACAAGCAAGAGCTTGCATTTTTCAGAAAATAAATTTCCACTTCATTTTAATGAAATCTTCAGTACATACTGTGCACTGAGTTTGATCAGGGCAACATGCAATCCATAGAGCTATGGATGCATAATGCCCTTAACATTTCCTTGTATACATTATGCACTTGTAAGACTTGACAGCTTTTATGACATCTGTACAAAGTAGTAGGATATGGCCATTTTTTTATGCTTCAACAGAAAAACAAAGCATGCAGTGTAGTTATTTACAATAAAGAAATCATCCTTGTTTTACGAGTGTCATATGGAATAGGCTGCAACTAACAAACCTGTAGCCTTCGTTACAAGATCAAATTGCAAATTCAAAGTTGATTTCAGCAGAGTGAGGAAGACCAGAGAAGCCAGAGGAAAACCCTCAGAGCACAGGATAAAACCAACAAGCACCTCTGAGTTCATAATTTACAATTATCTTTTCAAATGTTTGCAGATACTCTGTGGATGTTCCCCTTGATAAACAGAACATAAACAAGGACATCTTCCGTGACCCCTCCCTCAAGAGGAAAGCTCTCAGAGAGGTCAAATCCAAGTTTGAGGAAAGGTAATTCAGTATACTTTTTTATAGAAACAAAATTCATCAGAGTTGCGTAGCTTTTGTAATAATTCACAAAGTTAGGCAGTTCCACAAGTCTTGTATGTTATATATACAGTATGAGTGGACGTGTTGTATCAGATATACAACCACGAGACGTAGCCAAGTGATTGTATATCTGATACGACACGGACACGAATACTGTATATGACTTATCAAACGTCTAGGTTAGTTCCTTTTTGTTTCACTAAAATTATCAAAATAAAAGTGAATTTGGCCAAGAAAATCCAACTTAAGGTTTATGCAAATGAACACAGTTTTGTATCAGATTTACAACACTCTTCACGGTCGTGATTTCTGTTGTGTTTTCCTCATGAATTATTAATGAGTTTRATAAGTCATATTATTAAATAACTGTTATAAATCTTGCATTCCGAGTTATGAAGCACTTGGGGRTTGGCAGAACACTTGAGAAGTGTTGAGAAGCACTCCRCTACKTSTCATGCTTCTCCTAACACTTWTCTCRTGTTCTGSCAATCCCCGCATGCTTYATAACTGCACGCAGCATGCGCACAYGTTTTCTATTTCTTCATTTTTGTCTCCTGTCCTTAAAAGTACATCAGCTATATATGATACTTTTGGCATTGATTTGTTAAGTTATGAAGGTTTATACTCTAAGCATAAATGTTAAAGTGCCTATAACCTTTATAGGATTATGATCAATTTTGATTTTCTGTGTGCTGGAGATGAATAAACAAAAAAAGTTTTTTCGATTGACTAAATATTCTCAGAGATATAACGCCCTAAAGTACGCAGTTTTGCCACGCCCCATCAATTTGGACGAGATAAAGGGAAACTGGGCCGAGCAGAGTCTCGCTGAGTGGTGACGTCACAACAAGAACGAATGTTTTGATAAGCAAAGATTCTTACTAGTTCTTCGGTCAGAATATGAGAAAATGCCAACTAGATGTGTCGTTGCTGGGTGCTCAAACACCCCAGATTTTACGAAAGGTATATACTTGCATAAGATCCCATTTCATAACGACAATCGCCCAGAAGCAAAGATGGATTGATTTTGTGAAGAGAAAGCAAGCAAATTTCAACCCCTCGGCTACCTCCGTCATATTTTCTACACACTTCCTATCAGAGGATTATAATCAGAGATTTGATTTTGTCTCGTAAAATCGTCCTCAGTTGGTTAAAGATGAGGCTGGGACTGTTGCCATCCCAAGGATTTATGTCTGCAACCATGAAAAGCAAACCTAACTTTCGGATCGTAATCGCCGAAAAGTGTCGCTGGTCAAAWCTCCAGGAATGTTTACTTTTTCGATAGTTCTAATTCCCTGATTTTATTTTTCAAACTGTTTAAATTATCTATTTTCCAATGGTTTTAAAAGATGCAATTGCCTCCGTGTCTTCACCGAAAGAAGTTGAGTTGCCGGTGCGAGAAGTGGTCGAACAACAACAATAATTTTAATCTAATACAACATTTGGTGGTTAGTTGTAGGGAAAAGTTTTCTTTTGTTGATTCAGTAAGTCCTATTTTTAAGTAACTATAAAACTGGGGCCAGCTATAAACAATGAAAGAWACTAGCATGGAACTATTTGACAGGATATAACCCAAGTGTCATAAACTTCTTCATCAGAATATTCCTGTTCGGGATATCCATGAACGGCTTCGTCTAATTCTTCGTCCTCGAGGTCGTAAATACTCTCATTCTCGTCGCTTGAATCAAAGTATTCATCAGCATTATCAGTGGATTCCATCTTACAGCCTTTCTTTGACAACTGGTTAATTTCAAASATACAAAGAGGCAAATAAAGCGASCAAAACAGGTAAAAACACTGGAAGGAACAGTCAAGCTCTACTTTGTTTTACTTATTGGGAGCCGAGTCATTCTTGTTGTGACGTCATTCGACGCCAACTAGGTACCAGACCTCGCAATCCCGTCCAAATTGATGGGGCGTGGCAAAACTGCGTACTTTAGGGCGTTATATCTCCGAGAATATTTAGTCAATCGAAAAATTTTTTTTGTTTATTCATCTCCARCACACAGAAAATCAAAATTGATCATAATCCTATAAAGGTTATAGGCACTTTAATGACTGTGATGTCATGTGATTTTTTATTTAATTTACAAATTTTATCTGGTTTATGCAAAAAGTATTTAAAAAGAATCTTCATGTCACGCATGGTTGCCATCATGTTTCTTGTAAATTTGTTGTATCCTAATGGCCAGTGTTTGGTATTAAKCACTCATTGAGTGGGACCGAGGTAAACTATGTGTTTTGTGGTCCCCAGACAACGATGTTTCCTGGGGCAAAGCCAAGGGAAACAAAACAGTTGAGGGACCACAAAAATGGACTTTGACACTTGGYATATAACATTACAAGTGAAAACAAATCTAAKCAATCSCCTTTTATGATTTCACATTCAGAACATATTGAAATCATAAATCTTCACAACTTTGGGACACTCAAATAAAGAAATATTTTCTCATTAAACTGTCATTCCCTTCCTGAAACATCAATACGGGAATAAGTATTGTGTTAAGGAAAAGATGAACTTTAAAATAGACATGTCAGGCTTCCTGTGACTTTKAATTTTCACTTTGAAATCTTTATTCCAAAAGCTTAAAGCTAATTTTGGATGTCATGTGTTGAGAATGCCTGAAGGGTTAACACACTGACAAAAAAGCAGACATGGAAATCTWAGAATTCAACATGAAATAAAATCAACTAAAATTAAAGAATTCAGATGCATACATCTGTTAGAAACAAAGAAAAATCTAATCTTGATCAGATCGAAGGAAATCTGATATCCTTAGATATCATCTTAAAGGTGACTTCCTGTCCAAAACACATTTTCCAAAAAAARTAATATTTTTTACATTCCTTTTCAGATACAAGTCAGGAAAGAACAAATGGTTTTTCCAGAAGCTTAGATTCTAAACCTCAAATCTTGTAAAATAAAATTTCAAATCTTGCTGAAGACTTGTTTGTGCCTACTTTTATCTTTTAAATATCATCCGTACTAAATAGAAAACAAAAAGATCTGAATATTCCAGAGAGTTCTTGATTTGAATGACCTTATGTAGTTAGAACATTTACAAAAGCAACATTTAAAAAATACATGCTTATGTGCAAATAATTTCCTTGTGAGACGCAGATCAGTTTCTACCATTATATGCAGAATTGTGAGCAGAATTGTTTTTCAAAACTAAGCCTTTGCTTAGGTTTTGTCTTGGGAAACATTGCCTTCTCAGGGTACTATYRTCGTGTACGGATTAACGAAGTACGTCATAGGTTTCAGAACACACAAGTGGGACTTAGAAATYYTGGTTCTCCTCACTTAGAAAAAAAATTAAGTGAAGACACCAAGAATCGAACTCGGTACCTTCGGCACCAAAGAACTACTACAATGCCAACCTCAACCCTAACCCTAAACCTAACTCCTAGACCACGAAGTGAATTCGGTTGGGTGGTCTCATTTTTTAGTTTTTATTTAAACGATGTATCATCAGCACGTGCACATAAATATTTATTATAGTTTAATTTATGCTATTGAAAGGTACGATTACAAGCCGATTACTTGAAATTTGAATAGAATTCCCCTGACAATTCCTGTACACGACGATACAACCCTTCTCAGGACCACAAAACAGACTGTTTCCCTCAATACTTGATTGATGGGTTACTGTCGGCCAATAAAAGCCTTTAAATTTTATTAAGACTGTGAAACACTCCATGTGGTGTCAGCAGGAAAGAATGCCATTGAAGATTGAAAATGAGAAAAGAGGTAACTTGCTAGTTGAATGGCAAATTGTGTTTTGCTGCSGGCCCTCATTCCCAGGATACTGTTACCCAACTTTTTCATAATTTCCGGTTTTATGTGGAGTGCCTATGAGAAGCAGGAATATGGAAAGGAAGAATGAAAACAATTTGCTCTTCGTGTTCATCGTGCAGCTGGTACCTTGCAGGATAATTGTAATTCTCTGATCAGAAAATTTGCAATGAAGATTGCATAATGAGAACTTGCTATTTGGGTGATGAACTTTRAAAATTAATAGCTGGAATATCATACACCGAATCGAAATATGGMGACCAATTTGAATAACTATTGTTCTGCACTGAATAGCGACTGACTAGCCTCGTGTTCACGTGGAAACATAAAAGCATTTTCACATGTATGAGAGGCTAGTCAGTYGCTGGTCAGTGCAGAACAATAGTTATTCAAATTGGTCGCCATATTTCGATTCGGTGTATATCTTGTTTTTTCTTTGTTTAGTTAGCCAAAAAAAAAACAACAACAGATGTCTCTGATACCCCTTGCGTTGWTACAAGGTATCCAGTAGGAAGTGCAGTGGGATACCTGTGTATCTGGATCTTTCTGTGGGCTTCCTGTGCCAACATTTGGCGGGATAAAGAAGAGCTAACAAAACTCACTCGATGTAATAATTCAAAGAGTTTGTTTTTGGGGAAATAAATATCATAAATATGGGAGATACTAAAGGCTATCCTTGCCTGTCATGGGCTGAAGAAGGAGAAGAAGAAGATGATAACGAAGAAGAATGGAGAACATGTTACACAAGTCCAGCCAAACGCAATGGCGCTTCTGCTCTGAGCAGCTCTCCTGCTAAAAAGAAACTAAAAATGGACTCATTCTGCACTCCATTGRCAGCAAGCTGCAGCCCTGCAACACCAGAACCTTCTAGTGATGTGTATGCGTCTCGCCATTGCCACAAGAGAACGATTATCCATATAGATATTGACTGTTTCTATGCMCAAGTTGAAATGGTTTTGAACCCATCTCTCCAAACTAAGCCACTTGGAATTCAACAAAAACATATCATAGTGACTTGCAACTACGTTGCTCGGGAGAGAGGACTTACAAAGCTTATGAGGTTATCAGATGCTAAAAAGAAGTGTCCTGATTTGGTTCTGGTTAATGGAGAAAATCTTTCCAAATATCGGGATTTTAGTAAGAGAATTAATGATCTTCTTCTGGGGATCACYCCAAATGTTGAAAGGCTGGGATTTGATGAAAACTTTGTTGATGTGACAGACCTCGTGGAGGCACGCCTCAGAGAAAACTCAGGGCCAAGTAACTTGCTTCCTGATGGAAAAGTGTATGCCAAGAAAGAGGTTGCACAGAAAAAGGTTATTATTTAAGACATRCTGAAAGTGTCACCCAAGAAAATATTAATATTGTCTATATTATCCTTTCCCTGCTAGAAGAGTCTCTCTTCTCTTTCTCTCCCTTCTTTCAGGCGGGGAGGAGGGAGACTCTGCCGTTGTAGAGCATTTCCTTTGATACACCACCGTCCAAAATCGTGGACGAACAAACCCAGTTTTAAAACCGGTTTTTAACCAATTACTTGTAGTGCGCATGAGCAAATGTAAAACACCGTGGCGCCAAACATTGTTTGACAAGAGTGGCTGTCAAAATTAGGACAGCGTTGCTAAGATACGCCATGCATGCGCAACAGAAAAAATGTCTTTCGCAGGCAGAGTCTATTTTTCTCTCGACCAAAACAACAGGAAAATGAGCTCTGCTAGCAGGGAATATTATCAGGATGGGATATTTAGGTGTTTAATACCTAGTAGGGGACCAAGTCCTATTATATTCTTCACCCGTTTTTGGGGAAATCTTTAAATCAATCAATCAGAATGCAAAAAAGCTGTCGTACATTCAGAAGTATTGCAGTTCCTTCCCATCCGATATTGTGGCCTGGGTATATTTTCAGTGATGTGGAGTGAAATAGTTCAGGATATCTCTGCACCAAGTTTAGCGCTATATTTGAGTACTATTATATAGCTTAATATATATGTYCTGATTGATCAAGAACTGTGCTTTATGAGTAAACAGAGCACAGTTGTTGACGCTTCAACATGCACTCAGCAAACTTTGCAAAGAATCGTAAGAAAACAGCATCAAAACTACAACAGATTGTGTTTATCTTTTTTATACATAAACAATTAAGACAGATTTTTTCCATGCTCTGTTCACTAATAAAGCACTTTATCATGACCCATTTTGCTGTATTTATCGATTTTAGYAGGATTTTTCAGCCCTTTTTTAACAACAAAAACTGGGTCATATGATAAAATGCTTATTGACTGAGTCAGTGTGGGCCAGATGGGAATCATCATTTGTAGGGACCTTGTTATGCTCAGTCTATATGGCATAAACCCCAGTCAAATATCAACCAGTCTGGCCTTCCCACTCAGGTAGTTATAAAGAATCAATYGTGGATAAGTTTGTGAGTGCTTTGCCAGCAATTCAAGAGGTCTGTAGTTTAATCCCTCTTTAAAAATATAGAACTTTGATGAATTCTTGCAGATCTGTACATGTGGCTGCCACCAGAGACTAACTATTGGCTCCCAGCTAGCTGCACAAATACGAAAGAAGATATTTGATGATATTGGTTTGACATGTTGTGCTGGTATAGCTCACAACAAACTGCTGGCCAAGTTAGCAGGAGAGTGTAACAAGCCCAACAAGCAAACTCTCCTGTTTCCAGATCTTGCAAATATGTTATTGGGAAGTCTTCCGGCAAGAAAAATACCAGGTATGTATTTAATTAATATGTATGTGAATTCGATTTCTATATTATTATTATATATTATTATTGTATTTTATTTTCGATGATTATGACAAAGTTGCAACAGGTTAATCCCCCTGGGGTACTCCCGGGGGGGGGGGGGTACTCCCATATATGGACTATGCTGGGATGATCCACTGAACAGGGTATGGTTTTTCGAGCTTCTTGTCATAAACAGGGTATGCAATTTCACTCAAGTTCCAAGTTCTTCCTGAGCTTCCTGTCATATTCAAGGGTTTTTTTTCGTATTGAC